GGGTTTTAGGGTTTGAGGCTTATGGGGCTTCAAAGTTTCGACTTCAGGAGCTGAAGCTCTTTTTCTCTGAAATTCGGAGCACTGGGATAAGGGTCGGACCGCATGAGCACAAAGGATTCCTGTGTAGGGTAGACTATAGCACACTCAAGGAATCTGGGGCATTACAGGTGTATCATGGTATAGCTACACGAAGGAACTTTAAGGAATGGTATTACTACGTCTTTCGACGTCTCTGTACCGCCATAGTAACCAATTAATTAGCATGTCCAGCTCGAGCTTCGGGAATGGCACGTTTTAGAGTTTAGGGTAACATAGGGGCCTTAATTAGTAATTAGGGGGCACAGTCTAACATAGTAAGTATATAGAGGACTGTGAGGGCATTCCAAGGCATGCTAGCGCATCGAATCACCCGGCCTGTTCCCAAGCATTTCCCTGTCCTCCTTGTAGCGGAACAGAGCCTGGGCGGAACTAAGTGTGCAGCAATGATTAAGAAGATGTGTTGATAGCAAGAACGGCAGCAGACGGTCACAAATGATGACCATCTTTGTTTGTCATCAATGCCAGCAGTGTAGGGCAGTGTTTCCGCAGCAACATGTCTTTGCACACGTAGCATGCACCATAGCATTGGCATGACCACCACTTAGCGTAGGTTTAAAAGCCTGGTTGCCACTAGGAAAATTCTTGCATTGCCAGCAATTTCACAACCACAATGACGATAAACTACTATAGTGATACCCATGAACGCTTTAAGGTCATGACCACGTAGGTGAAGAACAGGATAATGCTACTGCTAGCGGTGGTGACGATGAAGATCATCATGGTGATGATAGTGCTGCTGATGATGGTGATGGTGATGGTGATGACGACGATGATGATGCGACTCTCCTCCTAAGCGGCTGTGGTTTCGGATTTGCAGACCACAGCTTATCTTTGCAAGACCGAAACTGGAAGTCGACAGGGCCTTGCACACAAGATTGCAAGTGCCTTGGTTGATGTTGAAGTACTTGTCCGAAGCGATGAAATTAGTGAGGCTTTCAGAGACTACAGGATCCTTATATCATGTGGACTCTCAGGCTAGGATTCTCTCATGCTACCGTAAGCTCTCGTCACTGCATCGAGGTGCGCAGAAAGAGCGGACCCCTTGCTCCTTGCATGGAGTCAGGAATCGTTCGGTGATCATGAGTCTCCAAACTCATTTTTGTTGAAAGCTCGAACCCCTGAGGCATCTTGAGAGCAAATTACTTTTGGGTGTGGGCCTCCTGTTCCTCTGACTCGAACCCTGACATGAATCCCTTGGCGATATGACTTCAATCATTTGTATAACACATACCGCTGACATACAAGTGGGTAGGCCTTCTGGCACCTGTTTCGGCGGATGTAGATACAACCGTCCCGAACCTGAACCTTGGAGCGGGTAAGAACCCTCGACCACGCATCATCTGGCCAGCATCTGTCCTACCTACGAACGGGGTTGAAAGAACTAAGCGAAGGAACAGGGTGCTTTTGCTTCGCCTGCTTGAGAAGTGTAGGGTTTTGAGCTGGACCTTTACCTATCGAGGCTCCTTTGGCAATTAGCTATGATCAAGGCCTTCACACAAGCAGTAAGATACTGCAAGCAAAGCAGCTGACAAAAAGTGTAGCCCGCAATTTGCCACCTACACAGTCCTTGTTAGTCCCGTCAAAACCACACTCTCCTCGTCTACGAATAAAGATACGCCAAAAAGACAACACACCCGAAACCGAAAGACGAATTTCATCTCGCAACACCCCCTCACGCTTCAACACACTTCCTTCGGGCTCCTTCAGAAGCGTCGCCTGCTTGCCGGTGAGGCGTCGCAGCTTTCTGGGCCGCAAAACGAGGCTCTGGGTTTTGTAGCTTGCGAGGCCGAGCCAAACCGCAGACTGGTCTGGTCTGGCGTGGATCTGTGTCTGATGAGGGTTTCGTATATAGACTATAGGGGCTTATGTACTCAACCCATGTGTGAATGTTAAAGCCAGGCCTCAGCGTTAAGGCTCTACTTGGAGGCCTGGTGTTTTCAACACTAGTGACACCAAGATTGAAAAAGGAAGCCCGAACATACACTCACCTGTGCTTGAATATCTTGTTGCTGTGACCCAAAAGGAACCCTGCGAGTAAGTACCCAGGTTCATTCAAGTAACTTGCGAACCCTTGTCTAAGAGTTCCGCACCAACTGTCGCCGAGGTGAACAGAAATTCGATCAGAGCTTCGAGGAATAGTCCTTTCATCCTTCGTGGAAGGGCATGAAGAAGTAAGACCCTGCCAATGTTGACACTGAGGCTTTAACCCCATGCTAAGTGTGGGGCCTAGGCTTTGCGAGGACGAAATCAGAGGCCAGGTACAATCACCATGTCACCCACGATTGCGTCTATATGCCCCCTTTATCGCCGAAGGCCTGGATCTGCAGTACAGTAGAAAGTCTTGTTTCCGGCTCCCGTTCTTAGTGAACGCCCGAATATCCGCACAATCTTTTCGTAAGGAGTCCACACTACCGCTCAGACCTGACGAAATTCCATCCCAGCCGCAGGAGATTCCACATCTGAAGCAACAGCCACTGGCCAGTCTCCTGCACAAAGTCATTCTTGAAGGAGTGGCGATGACCGCCTGCAACAAGTTGCCATGTGCGATTCTTCCCGAGGGAAATCATCTTTCAGGTTCGAGTGCACTCAGCACGATCCTGACGCAAGTATTCGCGAAGAGGCCCACGATTTTCTTTGGGGGTTAAACAGAGCCTGGAGGGAGCGTCACCGTATCCCGAAAAGCCCGGAAACCCTAAAGGCCCACAGCCCTAATTAAACGCTAACCCTAAAAGGCCAAACCGAAAAAACCCTAAAGCCCTAAGCTGCAAACACTCGACCCCCAAACCGTGAACCGCAACCCCGCTATGCTGCTGAGACACATATCAGCGAGCGCATGGCAGAGATCACAGGCTCGAACATCTCCTCTTAAGGGGTTTAGGCTGTAATTACGGGCATTCGGCTTTAGTGGTTTTTAAGATTTGGGGGTTTGGGTTTTGTGCATCCTGGGTCTCTGCGCCAAGAGCGGCGACTATGAGTTGAAACGATGGGCCTGCGTTTCTTCCACCGGATGAAACAACACCAGCCATCTTGGGTCCTAGACAAGTTGAGTCGGTGTCTTGGTTTTGAGGGCGTTACATACTACAAGCCAATTCTAGGGTACCCTGTGGTCGAGGCTCCCATGGCACTTTGACACAAGACCTAGAATTTTGACCCAAAGCCCTAAACCAAACACTTTTTTGCTACTGAGACTGGCTGGGCTCAAGTCCAGACCACGGCCTGACCCAAGCCCGAAACCCTAAACCCTCAACCCTAAACCCTAAACCCTAAACCCTAAACCCTAAACCCTAAACATACGCACAGCTCTGACTCAAACCCGAGAGCCCGCAAAGCTCCTCGATTTCGGCTTAAACCCTATAAGCCCCAAGGGTCTGGTGAACTGTAAACCCTGAACCCTATAAGGTTTAGGGTTTAGGGTTTAGGGTTTAGGGTTTAGGGAGGTTTTGGTGAACTTCAGGGACCCTAGCAGCCTCGAAGTTTGTGGAATCGTCTGTCGAATCCTCCGTCAGCAGCCGCATTGTAGACCTCCGGTGCGAGGCTTTCTGGCTTCTTCGGCATCTAGCGTTTAAAAAACATACTTGCCTATAGGCCCAAAGACGTCGTTCCAGGTTTCCGGTGGTTATGATGCTACATAGTCCACCTCAGCCGTGCGAAATCTGTTGCACCCTCCACTTCTACGAAACAGTGGCAATCCTAACGAAGCAACCGGCCGCATCACCCACTTCCCGACCCGAAACCAAACCCGAACCCAACTTCGGGACCCTTCGACAGCATGTCGGGATTCAATCAGAGCATAGGACTCGACGGGGTGTGGGGTTCAAAGGCTTTCGACTCTCTCTGCTCGGACGTGAAATAGCCGGGGCTTCATTGAAACAAAAAGGGGTTCGCCGCCCATTATCAAAGGCATAGGGACGATGAGGGGGATGTCACTACCCTAAACCCTAAACCCTAAACCCTAAACCCTACCTCTTCTACTAGCTTCCCATGACAGGCTCCAACAGCTGGGATGTACTTCGAAAGGGGGCAGGCCACAAGCCATGCAAACCTGGAGGACTTTGGGGGAACAGCTCTGTCCACGTCTTGAAACCTGAAACATCTAAAGGATGAAGAGCGACCTGTGAAGGAAGGGATGGCGCGCCGGAACTCGGGTTTATAGATTCGGAACAGGAAGCACCTCTCTTGCTGCTTTGCTGCATTCTCGCACTCTGCGAACGGAACGTTGTATTTCGGTGGTTTAGATATATGGGTAAACATTGAAGCCGCGGCGGCCACAAGCTATAGTCCCAAGCCCCGCGCCTGATGGCTTCGGTGTCCATGTACCTTGAGTAGCGCCCAGGCCCCTTAACGCAGTGAACGTGCGTGCTCCAAGGAACCGCTAAACGTCTGTTGGCACTGCTACACCCAGCGACTGTGGTCAGCCTCCAGTTTTTGGTTGGTGTGGGCTCATGCAAGAGAGGTTCGCGCTGTTGGTACTCTTCTTGTCTGTGTTGTCATGGCACCTCTTTGACCAGCGGAGGATTCACGGGTTCGCGTACCTGCCTTTCCTAACATGCTGCGAAGGCCTATGGAAGCTTCCGGAAACAAGGGACCGCTACGATTGCCGCAAAACAGAGCAAACCTTACTATCACTACCGCGTTTATTTCTTATCTTGTTTAGCTGAGCTGTGCCGCACTGCAGCGCTTGACGAAGGTCTGGGCCTCGTGTTTCTGCTAAGGTTAAAGCGCTAACGGACCAGATCCTTGAACTCCAGGCTGCAATGCTGGCAAGCACCATCTGAACCCAAGGTATCTCAAGACCAGCACTTCATAACCGCAAAAGCCTAGCCAAGGCCCATCCACCTGCCGCCCGGCGGAACCGACAATTCTAGCCCTTGCTCTTCCTTTAAAAGCTTGATGAAATTCAACACTGCCCAGGGCTGGTGTGCTTCGTGAGTGTTAACCCAGAACCAGCTCTAGCACTCTGGCAGGCTAAGGGCGGCTGAGGTAGCTCTCACCTCCTCGAAACAGGTTGTCCGTCAGCCCGGAAGCTGAGCAGAGAAGAGCATCGCAGAACCCCCCCCCCAACAAAACCCAGGTTTAAATCACAAGAAAGCCAACACCGACAACTTGAACATTACCAGTCGACATTCATGGCCCCTCGTCGTAGCTCCTGGGGCCGATGACTCCCAACTTCAACCGTAAACCCGAAACCCTGAAGGCTATCTGCTCATCTACAAAGACTCTAGGCCCTAACCTCTGATGTCCCAAACCCAAGGCAAACCCCCTTCCACTTTACTTAGTGAGTCCCTAGGAAGCCATGCAAAACACCTTCAAGCCTTCTTCACCCAAAAAGGGACCGCAAAAGGAACTCTGAAAAGAGACCTCTCTGGCACTTCAACCAAACCTGAACGGCACCGTGAGCGGAACTCTGTCTATGAGACCCTACCAAAAATTAACGAACCTAACGCAGGGGCCTTAAAATTTAGAATAGGGTTTTTGGGCTCCTTTACAGTATAGGTATCATAAGGAAACCCTAAAATAGAACTGGCAATTATTTAGGCCCTTTTGTTACCACAAAGCAACCCTGAAGCGAAGGGAAGCCTTCAAAGCACGACCCAGCCGCTTCGCCGAGCCCTCGCAATAGCGCGCCCAGGCTTCGGCGCAAGCAACACGCAGCCCCCAGCCTCGGCGAATAGAGGGCCCTGACTACTTGGAATCGGGTTTTGGGGTATAGGGTTTAGGGTTTAGGTATACTATATATATATATATATATACACACCTATAATAAGGAACCTCCACAATTAGTATCGGTGATTTTTTAGGCCCCTATACTAGGTGGGAATTCTATTGGGTGTTCTAAGGCTTCGGGAGCTTTGGCAGGTCTTCGGAAAACGGGATTGTGCCTGGAGCGCATCTGCACACTCCTGGGTTGTTCTTCGGCTTTCGCTTCTGAACACGGTATGGGCCGAGGTTTACGCTCTCACAACTCGGACAGGCCAGGCGAGGATCCATGGTCGCAGGTCGGGTGACTCAGTTTGCATGGGCCGGGGTTTAGGATTTAGGTCAGGATGGTTTTTGTGGTGAAGCGTCAAAAAATGTCAGCACATGGACTTGTCAGCCACCAAGAGACATGTGGCCGTTTGACTTACAAGGCTCTGTGAGGATAGTGGGGTGTTTTAGATCAGTGCTATAGGGTTTTGCAAGGGTTTTACTAATGTTCTGCAGAGTTTAGGGGCTAGGGGTGAAAGGTTTTGAAGTCTAGATTTTTTGTGACCTCTGCGAGCTGCCTAACTTGTGTCAGCCTTTTTCCGATTTGTCTAAACACGGCTACAACTCCGGCAAAACTCGAGGCTTATAGCTATAATTACCTATCTTACCCCAGCGGCGATGTTTTGTAATGCAGCAGCATCACTCTAAGCAAAGACCAGCGGCTCTGCAGGGAGATGTCCTCCAGGAAGGTAGAGCCACTCAAGGAGCAGAGCGTGTCCAGGATTTCCTCGGCTCTTGGGCTTCAAGTCAACACCACCGCTTCTAGCTTCTTCCGGCAAACATTGAATCCGTGTACCACCCGTGAGCTCCTAAAAACAGTAGCCGCAGGCGCACGTTGGAATCTGTGCCGCTCAGCCGTGCCAAACCCTTGCTCTTGACGCGCTCGACGGTTTTAAGCATGTCCCTGAGCCCGTATCGCTTCGAGGCTTCTTTTGATTAAGCGGTCTTCGCCTCCTGAAACCGGCAACACTGAACTGGGGCAGGCTTTAAGGTGCATTTCAGGATCGAGCTCTTCAGCCTCTGAACTGGCTCAGGACAAGTCTCGGGCACTGCCCTCGGATGCAGCTCATGCAGCTCGGGAACATGACGAACGAAAGCTTCGATCACCTGCCTCTTGAGGTGAAGGTCGTAATCCTTCTCGCTTGCGTCTGAAAGCCGCTGAGCCACCTTGGTTAGGGGATATGGTTCCGAACCTTATTGAAATTCGACACGCTCGCATTGAGACTCCTCTGTTCATCACAGCTAAGATTTCCATCATCACAGATTCTGGGTCATGAAGTTTTCTGAAGATTTAACTGATAAGGAACTGAAACCTTTCGGATTCAATGGTTGAGGCTTTCGGATGTTCGTTTCTGCTCCGAGTGGCCTCCTTCATCCAGGTAGCCTTCTTGGATATCTCCGCATCCTTCAGTTCACCGAGGAAGAAGTGCACAATTTTTCTGAGAGACTCCTCAGCGGTAGTTTGGGTTCCGATGTAGCTCGCATGCTGTGTCTTACCGTCTGCTGAGGGCTTCACGTTTTAATGGTGATATAGTGCTCGAGAACGAGTGCTGAAACATTCCCAAGGGGCTCGCCGAGCCTCTCGCTCAGTGTCCCTTCGTTCTTCGTCCCACTCTTCCTCCTTGTGCGTCACGGTGCGCCCCATCTCCGCCTCCGAGCCGTCTGCCGGCTCCCTCCGATCCGCTCGATTCGCTGGCTCCGAACAACATTTGCGAGGGTCCTGCTGACCTGCCAGGGAGTTGGGAGCTTGATACCTCGAAAGGTCTCTGCAAGAATCCATCTCTCCAGATCAATGCATGCATGCGCTCAACCCCTCCACTCCTTTTTCATAATACGTTTCTGGGGTTTTGGTGTTTTTAATGAGGGTTATGCTGCCGGCCTTGGCGGTAGTTAATAAAGGTGCGAGACACTGGAGGTACAGATGGCAAATCGCCGATATCGTCGTCGCTTTCCCGTGACTCTTCGTGAACATCCACTGGTTCGTCCGGATCGTCTTCAGGGGCTTCACCTGCAGATGCAACCCTAAACACAAAAACCCTAAACTCCCCCTTCCTGCAGACTTTCCGCTGTCACTTCAGGGTTGCTCGGGCTAAGGGTTTACGGTCATCACTCAGGTGTTGGAGTCTCCAAGCGGCTTGGATTTAGTCTTTGCGGCTCGAAGTTTGCAAATGACCAGTAAGAACTCATAAGCCACACAGCCACAAGTGCAAGTTTTCCTTTTCGAACTTCGAAATGCCCACAAGCGAAATATCACCTTTGCCGCATTGCTGCTTGCGGATCACAGACTCTGGTCCAACGTACCTTCATCATACTTACGCAAAATCCGTACTGTATAGAACCGCTATACGTCCCGTGGACCGCTCTTACCATGCTGCCCCAAACTACAGTTCCGGCTCAACAGATCCACCTGCATTCTTGTATAACAAAAACAGCTGGAGAGACTGGACGCAAACCCCCCCCCCCTTCTCCGCCGCAATTCCCTGAACCCTAATTAAGCCACTACCTAGAATTACCTGCTCCAACCCTTGAACCGAGACATCGATACCCCGATCCTAAATCCCGAAACCTATAAATTAAATCTCAAATCTAATGCCGGCCCAACACCAGAAAGTGCTGAGAAGGGCCCAAAAACCCAAAAACCTTTTTGAAACCGGACTTGATGACTGCCAGCATTGCCTTAAACCTAAACCCTAAACCCTACAAAAAGAGCCTCCGGGATCTTCCGCCAAATCCTCAGAGCCTGAATCAAGAGGCGGTTAGGGGGGTTGGGGGCTTTGGGGTTCCAGCACCCACTCTCGGACTTGCCTAGGCTTAAGGGTTTAGGGGTTTGGGATTTTAGGATTTTAGGGTTGAGGGCTTTGGGGTTTTAAGTTCGGGTTCCAGCTCTGGGTCAAATATAGGGGCGCTAATGATTTGACTCGGGTTTTGGGGTAGATTTTACTATAGCAACAATCCAGAACCCGAATTCATGCTTCTAGGTTAAATTCCTAAATCCTAACAGCCCTAAACCCAAGGCTATACGGGGTTCTTTGAGAGCTCATGGTTCTGGTTGTTTCCGCCTCCCGCCAAGGACCATGCCTGTAATGAGCTGGTGGCGGAAGTACTGTAGTGTTCTGAGGGGCCCTATAAGTTAGGATGTCATTAGGATTCCGAATGAAGAGCTGAGGAGTTCCGGGGTTCAGAATGCCAAGGATGTTGAGATGTCCTGGGTGTCGTCTAAGCAGGTTGAGCCTTGAAGCTTCTGGCGAGGTGGGCCGGTATCCAAGCATGGGTTCGATAATTTTTTGCCAAGAGTTAATTTTTTTTTGCAAAAAGAACAAACAATCGCTATCCCCTTGTCCTCCCGCATGTTGGATCCGTACAGCACTTGCTTGCAAAGAACGAGCGCTCAAACAGCAACCTAACCAGCCCCTGTGGCAAACAAGCCTGATAGTAGCCCGTTGTTGAAACCCTTATATGCCGTAATCCTAACCGCCTAGCCTTTCAAGAAACTCTTGTTGGCCCTTATGAAAGATGCGCCTGAAGCTCCTTGTGGGTTCGCACGATTTGCTCGTCGTCGTCGACGAGCCGCCTCACCGTCGGCGCTTGCGCTCTGCCGCTCTTTCTTGAGATCTTGGTGTTTGAAACTTTTGGGTTGTCAAGCATCGCCACATGAGGCGATGCCCGCAGCGCGCATCATATGCTAAAAAGTCTTATGGTCTTTTGTTGGACGGGCGGGGAAAATCAGAATGATCCAACATCTTCCCGGCACGGTTTTCTTGGCGAAGCCTGCCGCCCTTGTCTCTGTGTCCATGCTGGTGGTTCGTCCCGCAGCTGCTGCAGAAAGCCTGAGTGGACTCCACGCGATACCGACTTCGACTTGGGGCCAGGATAAGTCCAACTTTGGGGCTCCTCGGGGTGCAACGCCTTTCAAACACAAAGACCTGTCGATGCCTCCTAAGCGGGGCCTACTCAGGTTTGCAACTCTCCCACAAAGATTTCACCCTTGAAGCTTCCTTTGTCCCGGGTCTTTAGGGGTTTAGGGTTTAGGGTTTAGGGTTTAGGTCGGTATGAATGGTCTGAGTCAGGAAGGCACAGAAGTTTCCAGAGTCTAAGCTTTTGTGCAGGTCGCTGCCAACGACCCACACCTTTCGCCCTAACGGCCAGCAGCCATGGGCCTCATGTTACAAACCTGCAAGGCAAAGCACCCTGCGACAAAATGAGCTGCCAGGGTACGGAGCACAGAGAACCCAAGGCGACTGCTGAGTTCTTCATCACCTCATCAGTGCATCTTGGCTTCAACTCTCGCACCACTAAAAGTAGCTCCGACATGCAGCTGCTGATGCAATCGAACAACGACATCTAGCTGCTCGCTGGCATGTCTCGTGCGTTGCTACGGTGTTCGTAGGCTTTCCCCCCTCGCAGATCGAAGGCATGCTGACTTTGTGGCATCTCTGGGTTGCAACCAAGAATCCGTTGCTAACCCAGGCCACGATATTGTTGATCCGGTCTTGGTCATAAGCAGAGCCAGGCCCGGCTGTTGCCAGGATCATCGGGACCAGCTGATCACGACAGACGAGATTCGTCGCCTGAGCATGAAAGATCGCTTGCAGCCCCCTATGTTTCATATACCCTGAACTGTAACCCCCCTATACACCCTAAACCCCGAAATCCTAGTAGGCACAGATGATGCGACTTCAGGTCCGAACCCTTCATGTCCATCTTTTGTAAGTTGCTGTGCAACGGTTTCTGCTGCGGTCTCAGCGGCTTTGCAGTACGCAGCATAGACCCTCAAAGAAGCAAGCGGCAGCGATCCCCTCTGTTCAGCTGTTCCTGAGTTCCTAATTCCTCAGGGGCCTCTTCTGTACCAAGTTTTCGGAAGTGTGAGGGCCCAACTGGAAGCAATGCCACCAGAAGCTATGCATAAATTTATGGCATAAATCGTAAAGATGGACGTTCTTCTCAGTGAGATCTGTCTTTGCTTCTTTAACCTTCGGCAAAACCGTCGAGGGAGTTGAAATGATCGGGACCCTAACTCGCCGCCCACACCAACGTGAGACGCATTGACCCTTCCACGACATTCCATCGTCGGGGCTATGCTTTTTCGAAAGTAGATAAATCACTCCGCTTTCCATGAACCTGTTCGGGCATGGACTCTCACGGTTCTGGCATCTGAACTTTAGTCTTACAGCTCAGTCCATTGAAAAAGGGATGAAGGTCAGCGGCTTTAGGCTGATGGTTTGAGGTGCATGTACGTATGTTACATATGTGTGTGTATGTGTGTATGTATGTATGTATGTATGTATGTATGTATGTATGTGTGTATGCGAGTAGATAAAGTACTGAACCGCAACACTGTTCCCACAGCACAGCTGAACCCGGACACCCAGGCCCTAAAAACCTCAATGGCTGAGTCAATGCTAGTACCGAAGGCACCCAGAATCAAAGGATCTCAACGAAAGCTATTTGAGCCTTCAGCCGCTGCTTTGCGTCCTCGGGCAGCAAATTGGGTCGCATAGTCCTGGGCAAGCACCGGAAAATTGAGGAGTTGCCGGGCATGGCGCGCATTGACAGGACTCCAAGCCTGAAGTGTCATGCGGCCGGAGTTCCAGGCTAAATATACCTTTTGCAGCTCTTGTTGCTCGTGGTCCGAAGGAACACCCCTAAACCTAAATTAAAACCTGAACCGTAGACCCCCAAATCAAACCCCTTTGCAATTGGCTTGCAACGTCACGCCAGGACAGCTGTCGCTTTCCACGCTGCACTCGTGACAACATCAATCCAAAGGTTGCAAGAGACGGGTTTAGGAAGCAAAGAGCTGACCCTAAACCTTAAACCCCTAAACCCTAAACCACATGCCCCCAAACCCTAAACCCAAACCCCTAAGCCCTAAACCGTAAACCCCTATAACCCTAAACGGCATCCCCCCAAACCCTGGACCCCGAACCCTAAAGCAAAAACATCCTGTCCACACCCGCCAAGCGACCCCGAGAAGAGCCGGAGCCCCAGCAGCCCCTGTGCTTCGAACTTTATACGTCGCGTCGACAAGGTTTCGGGTTTGGGGGGACTTATGAAGTATACCGAAGTATATATATATATATATACCCTGATCGTCCACGCA